GGACTCCATGCGTAAGGAGAGTGTTGCCGTAGTTTTGCCACTCTCTGCACTGAAAAAAAATTCTCGGCGTTTTGACCACGGTCCGTTGGTACCTTTACCATCTCACTTTTTTCACCAATTATTGGTTACTTTACCAAGACAGACTGGTAAGCTTACCTAAAAACTGGTATTTTTACTGTATTTTTCACGTAAAAATACCACTTTTATTGGTAATCAATTTCCGGTAACTTTGCCATTTTATCTCGGTAATTCTACCACAGTCGATAAAAAATATTGGCGTTTTTACCAAAGTCCAGTAAAGTTACCGAGAAAGTTCAATAATTTAACCGAGATTTCTCGGTAAAATTACCAATTCCATAAATGGTGATTTTACCAAGAAAAAACTGGGATCAAATAGAACTCTGAATTCTTGGTAATTTTGCCCTTTTCTTAGTAAATACACCGAGATTTTTTTTTCAGTGTGATTAAATCATCAGTTTCGAGCGTGTGGGGTTCTTCAGGACCATTGCCAACAGACCCGATCAAGAGGAACTTAAATTACCGAGGGAGAATGCATGGGCTCTTCCGCAAAAAGTGTAGTTCTCAGCAAAAATGCACGGTTAAAAATCAATGATTTACTCTGAGTGAATAGCCGGCGTGAAAAAGAAATCCAGCGCGAATTTCGCGCCGCACTCCGAGTGAATAGATCAGAGCGTGAATATCACCAACGACGGACAAATCAGTTGAACTCCCTAAAGTAGGGTGAATTCAGCATCGTCTGACATGAACGTCGAATGGCAAGGTGGTAATGCACTCGTCTATCACCGCCGCGACCCGAGTTCTAGTCCATGCTGCGGCAGTTCCGTTTTACGTTGCCTGTCAGATTTTCACTCCGGCCAGAGCGCGAAATTTGCGCCGGATCCATGCACTCATATAGTTACAGGTGGTCAAAATAGCAACGGAGTAAGCGTGAATTTCGCGCCGCGATTTTTAACAGTGTAATCAATCCAAATACGTTCCCTGCCAAAAGAAACATAAAAATCCGGCTGTGGAATCCATACTTACAGGCTATACAACTAAACCGTCCGTTCTCAGTCCAGAGACCGAAAGTTCCGAGTGCAGTAGCGTGGCGTGATCTGCGATATATAGATCGATCCGTTATTGATGAACAATGTGTTTGCTACGAACATTTTAATTATCGATTCTTTACCATAGCTTCAAATGGGGAAATATTAATGATCGGTCATTCAGGCGTGCCCACTGTCCAAGCACTGCATCTGTTGCTCCGCCCTCTGAACCTGGAACCGGGAACTTTCCGCCTATGAACCCGGGACGGACAGAATGTATAGCCTGTGAGCACCGCTTCTACGGTCGGAGTTTTATTTTCAGCGTTCAGGACTTGTTTTCTGTTCAGAACTCTGTTGCCATCTTGTTCGTCGAAGATATGGTAAAGAATTGATTGCGAACACCCTATATTTATCGATCCTTTTCCATAGGTTTGACCCTTTGTTGCATGAGCTAATCGTCGATTTTGGTGAGAAAATCTACATTGTAGAGTATTTTTTTCGACAGTACAGTAAGTTGAAATCGATTCTTGTAGTAGTTTTTTAAGTTAGGAGATCAGACTTATAATGCTCCCCAAAAATCATTTCTTGATTTGATTCAATTTAATACTCCAGCATACACATAAAGCTGAAAACCATTTGTTGCTTTCATGCAACGCTATGCAATAAAGGGTTAATCGGCACACAGTGCGGATCGAGTCAATAGGACAGGTCGGACAAAATTTGGGAACTTAAAACGCTCATAACTCTGTTTATACAAACTTTGAGGTTCCAAAATTGGTTTCATCGGTTTTCTCGTGACATTTTCCTCTCGAAGCACCGCTTAAAATTTAAAATGTGACAAGATAAACATCAAAATTTGCAGATTTAGTCAGAAATGTCACGTCCGACGTCTCTGATTGACTCTATCCACACTAAAAAAAAATTCTCGACGTTTTTACCAAGGTCCGTTGGTATCTTTACCATCTCATTATTTTTACCAATTACAGGTAATTTTACCAAGACAGACTGGTAAGCTTACCTAAAAACCGGTATTTTTACTCTTTTTTCCAGGTAAGAATACCACTTTTATCGGTAATCAATTCCCGGTAACTTTGCCATTTTATCTCGGTAATTCTACCACAGTCGATAAAGAATATTGGCGTTTTTACCAAGGTCCAGTAAAATTACCGAGAAAGTTCAATAATTTTACCGAGATTCTCGGTAAAATTGCCAATTCCATAAATGGTAATTTTACCAAGAAAAAACAGGGATCCAATAGAACCCTGAATTCTTGGTAATTTTTCCTTTTTCTCAGTAAAAACACAGAGATTTTTTTTTCAGTGCACTGTGCGGCAGATCAATCGATGTATCGCAAAACCCGCCACGTCACTGGTTCGCACGTTTCGATCCTGAGCTGCGTTTACAGCTCTCTTTGGTAACACGGCAATAAAACGCATGCGGGTTGATGGGGCCATGACTGGATCGCGGTTGCGAGACTCGCCAAAACGCGCTGTCCGCGCGACCGCTAATAGCGCGCGCGCTGAGAGACAAATTCGTGTTTTGATTGATGATTCGCCCGGGCAAATAACTCATCCGCTGGAAACGCGGCTCCCGATGAGCTTCCGCCCTGTCGTCCCTTTACACCTCCGCGAATCTCTTCGCGCCATCGCAGGGAAAAGTGCCTCGAGTTAAAGGCCTTGTCCACACGAGCGCAGTTCGCGGAACTTATTCCTCGAACTTGCTCAGTTCCCGGAACTTATTCCTCGAACTTGCTCAGTTCCCGGAACTGATTCCTTGAAACGAGGCATGCTGTCCACACGGGTTCGTCCGAACTGGAACTGGAACTTCAATAAAACTATACAATTATTGCAAAATAATAGATTATTATGACCGCCAAAGTAACAAAAATAAATGTCAAGATCATATGTAAAGGACGTGAAAAACAAAAACAAGCAAATTCACATCAAAAGAAACATATTTAGAAGCTCGGAGCACGGAGGAAATTCCAGGTTTTGGAGGAATAAGTTTCAGCTCAGCAAAAAACTTGTTCCGGGAACAAGTTCCTCGAACTGAGTTCCGCGAACCGCGTTCGTGTGGACAAGGCCTAAAAGTTGCAGAATATAATGGCGATTAATCGATTCTACTGAGGCTAGAGTACACCGGGAAAAAAGTAGCTTGAAACAAATCAAAATCAGCTTGAAGCAAGCTGGAAAAATCTTAAATTTGCCGCCAAGAAACGTATAGCTTGAAATAAGCATGGCCGTGCTGCTTGAAATTAGCTACCCGGCGGAATCTTACTTATTTTTCGTTTAATGCTCGGATCCAATACTAAATACTGAAAGTTTTATTCATTTTTCATAAAATTCCGTACCGTAGGGATAAAATGTTACTGATTCTTCGACATGGAACATGTTGAAGTCGTCGTGCGTTGCCGCGGGTTTTGTTCTCGGTCTGCAGCGATGTTAAAATTCTTGGCTTTTGGAGATATCCTGGAATGACTTGAGAATGTAGGAATGTATAACTTAATACCCGTGTCGAAAATGAAGTCGGAGTGGTTACAATCCAATGGAAACTTAATTCAAGAAGTTGGCTGCAAACTTAATTTAAGTCTAATTTTTTCAGCTATTTCCAAGATTCGTGTCATGCTTGAAACCAGGAATCTTGAATCGAGTATACATTATCTTGAATCAAGAAACAACTTCTTAGAATTAGCAGCCATGGTGGCTTGATGTAAGACTCAGCAGGTTTGACTCAAGATTTTTGTGTTGCTTAAATCAAGCTAGCAAGTGATCCAAGCTATAAGGTAGCTGCAATTAAGAATCTCGAATCTTGAATTTAGCAATAAATTGCTTGTTTTAAGATAATAATTCTTGAATCAAGCTGCTTTTTTCTCAAGATTCCGAGACGGCTTGACCGTAGCAGACTTTTTTCTCCAGTGTAGAGCACCTGTATAGCGAGAGTATGGACAGATCGCTTCATGGAGCCTGGAGGCTTTAGGGCCCAAAAGTGCAGCCACCCTTCTAACCAACTTCTAACGCAAAAAATTTCACTGCCAGTCTGTAGATTCCAATTCTAACGAAGATGGCTAAGAAAGTACATGAATGAGCGTTCTTCCACAAAAATGAGTAAATTTATGCAAAAATTAATTCAAATACGTGCTTTACAAACGATGGTTCGTAACAATTGTATTAATAAATCGCACTGGATAATTGAAATTCATAGGTTGGCTGCATTTCTGGGCCCTAACTTTATTCGCGGAGACATCGGTGAAGGCCTGATGGATTTTCGGGGTTTCACATCCGTCTATACTCTCGCTATACAGGTACTCTAGGCTAGAGTACCTGTATACGGGAGAGTATTGCCATCTCAATCCTTTTACTACCGAAAAAGCGTGCCGCTCTCTGATCGGCCGGCTATCACGGAGCCCCAAAGTTAGCCCAATGTAAACAAACCCCAGCCCCTCCGGCCTCCGCTCCTAGTTTGGCCCAATGTAAACAAAAAAGATGCGAAAAATTTCTCATAGTTCTAGACGTGACTTGGGGTGTTTTAGACATTTTTTTACATCCAACTTCTGAATAGAGTTCGGATCGAACTTTGATGAATATTTTTGCTGAAAATTAAGCTTTCAGTGTGATTATCATTCATTTTTCAGCCGTGTCTGACTCTCCCCATATACACTGGAAAAAAAAGAATCTTAAATTTGCCGCCAAGAAGTATTTCTTCTCAAATCAGGAATTTTGCTGGTTAATATAAGCTACTTTTTTGCTTAACCCAAGCATTATTTTTCTTGAATCCAGAAAAAGTCAGCTTAAAGCAAGATAAAGAAAATTCTCGGCGGCAAATTCAAGAATTATCATGCTTGATCCAGGCTTTTTATTTTTTTTCAGTGTAGGTATTCTAGTTCTCACCTAGTCTAGTGGTCCATTCTAGAACGAATCCATTGTGTTTGATTGTATTTGTGCTGTAATTTTGTAGGGTTTCAGGCGCGGATACCGGGCTACCCCCGCTACTCGGTGGTGGGCAACACGAGTGTGGGCGAATTCCACCTGCGGATATCCAACGCCAGCCTTGACGATGACGCCCAGTTCCAGTGCCAAGTGACGCCCTACAAACACCATAAGGCCATCCGCGCCGCCGCCAACCTCACTGTCCTCGGTAAGTATTCAAGATCCAACCCAAACTTATATTCATATTTGCACACTCAATCTTCAGAAATTCTTCTCGTCAGAATTGGCCCTAACCCATAGGCTAAGTTGGACGTATTTCTGTCAAACGGAACTAAGCGCCATAGGGGGAGGAAGGTAGAGGGGGGCTTGGATTGGCGGGGGAACCGGGCGTCGGGCTAATTCCGCCCTATACTTCCAATGCTTTTCCATGGCGCTTAGTTCCGTTTGACAGAACGCGCTATCCGGCATTCTAAATTCCTCAAAAGGAACTCAATTTGGCGCTTAGTTCCGTTTGATAGAAATACGTCCAGTTGAAAGTCGTCAATCGTTGAAAGGAAGTATAAACGAATGGGTTAGATCGAAAGGCAAAACTACTTCTGTGCGGAGTAGCAAGTATGCTACTTGGCACATTGTTTCATGGCAAATACTCTCTTTTCATTTAATCCATTTCTGCAAGGCTCCTTACGAATACCCTTAACTAATCGTGGTTTAATTCCTTCTTCTTGGTTTCCTCCCTCCTTCAAAGATGAAATCGAACAACGAATAGGTATCCGAAACATCATTGAAACCCATTCAAAAAGTCAAAAACGAAAATATATAAATAGATGCACTTCGTACTGCGGAGTGAAACTGGTCCCATCTTCTTTTCACATTCTTTTTGAGCAGTCTATTTTTTGTGGGTACGGCTGCCACGTAAAGTACACTCTGTCATTTTGAAAACACTCACTCATAAACAATAATGACGCTTTAATTTTTTACCGCTGCTACCTGAAGTACACCGTGGCATTATGAACACACACTCTAATAAACAACACGACACAATAATTTCCATGACACGGCAGAAAATGCCTTGGTTTCATTACTTTAAAATGTTTTAAAAGCTCAGCCTTCCACAACACGAACCAGCCGCGAGGTAATAAATACATTTTAAATAACCTGCAATTCGTGCTCGCCAACCACCACCGAAGCTCAACGCTCAACATCAGGCGAAATCAGAAAAATGATGACCGGTGTTTTGTTGAATCCGCGAGAGTTAGATATGCCTCACTGAAATTTGGCAGGATAGGGCGTGCTCGGTCTCTATTTGTCTAGATACAAATTTTTAGGAGCAGCCCGAGACGATGATAACAGTGGAACAACAAAGATGAAAAAAACGGGAAACAAGGCTAAAAATACACAATTATGAAACCCGAGACGTTTCGACTCAACACTGAGTCATTTTCAGTCGGAAACAATAAAAAATTTTAAAAGAAAAACGCTAAAAACCTGGCCCGGCCCCGGCCCCTCCTACCCATGGAAGGGCGAGCTACGTCTCTGGTCGGTGACCGCCCGACTTACTCCCAAAACTCCCTCCCGGATCGAACTCCCTGCCGAAATGGAGATGTTGCATGTGTGAGGAATTTGCGATTCGACTGTTAATTCTTATGTAAGAGTTCGCGAGAAACACGATGGTGCCACTGGTTTTCTCTGAAATCAACTCCCAAACTAAAAAAAAGCTCTCAAAGTGAGGCCAAATCGGAGGGATATCCCACCCTACCCTGAGAGTCCACCTCTACATCAAGACAAACTATCTATGCAAATATAGGGAGGAAATACATTGACAGGTCTGCCACTTTATTTGGGGACTCCAAAACTGAAAACACGGCATCACTGCTGCATCGTGTTTCTCGCGAACTTTTACTTAAGAATCAAAAGTCAAATCGCAAATTCCTCACGCATGCAAAATCTCCATTCATTCCCCGATTCGATTCCCTGGCGGTGGTGGATTTAATGTGACATCAGTGGCAACGTCGCAGGAATCAATACAAAAGCAATATGAAAAAGTAATTCACCGTTTCTAGGTCCGGCCACACGATCAAAATGTAGACAAGTGTAAATCAGTAATGGACCACTAGACAAGGTACGAATTTAAGCAATCTGATACATGTTTCTTAATCAGAATTTTACGTAGAACACGATTCTTACAACGAAAATTACTGAAACCAACTCCTAACGAAGATATTAACGTTTTTATTTCACATTGGTTACGAGGACTTTGAACTGCCCGCTGAAAAAAAACTCAAAGCTCTACGTGAGTCAAATCGCGCACTACAACGGTTTCAGCATGCTTCTCAATCGAGCAATGTTCATTTCCCACCATGTGTTGTTCAAACCATAAGCAATTTGCTATAGCTAAGCCAAAGCGTCAAGATTGAGGTTGCCAGATTTTCATATCGCAGAAACTGCCATGATAAATAAATATATATAATATATAATAATAATAGCGCTCGATGTGAATCACGTAGAGCATTGAGTTTTCATGAGCGGATGGTTTGAATTCACGCATTAAGAATCATTAAATATCTTCGTAAGGTATTGATTTCGGTAATTTTCGTTGAGCGCATCGTGTTCTACGTGAAATTTCGGTTAAGAAACATGTATCAGAATGCTGAAATTTGTACCTTGTCTAGTGGTCCATTGGGAAGGAGGCAGCACCAGCAATCTTTGTTTACATTTCCACTTGCATTCAAACGCAACTCATATTCTCACCGTCACTGTCTATTACTGAGCGTTGCCGAATGTAAACAAAAGACAAACTTGTCAAAACATAGAACCCTAGTAAAAGTGCATCACCCTGATGTCAGCGTGACGTCAGGCTGAGTCAGGGTGCTTTATGAAACATACCCTGGGTCAGGCTGACTCAAGGTGATTCTGGTCATGCTGAGAAAGGCTGACTCAGGGTGATTCTGGTCAGGCTCAGGTTAGACGAATGCTGATCCGACTACCACGGTTAATGTTGGAGGATGTCTAAATCATGACAACGACACTGAATGAAGAAGTTTGAGACATATTTTATTCCGGTAAAACATGGGTAAAACTGATTGACAAGACACACAAGCAAAGAGTGAGTAACAGGATGGAGAGGCAACATCGCGTAACTAGAGGGCGAGAGTGCATACGCACTGACAATATCGGAACTAAGACTACAGACTACAGACAGTGCAGTAGGATTAATATTACTACCTTACAACAGTCAATCGAAATTCTTTTGTGTCTTGATCAATGACGCCCCACACTCAACTTCCCTCTACCTAACTTCCGTGGCCGGTCACAGAGAAAAATTTCTTCCATAGCTTTCTTTTCACTGAATCATTAAATTATTCCTTGATTAATTCACGTTCATATGGTTTTGAATAATTATGGTTGAGTTTTACCTTGATGAACACCCTGTTCTCCTATTGCACCTGTATAAATGACTGTTATACTTACCACTTATACACACCCAATGCTCTTTATTACCACTTAAAGGTTTTTGGTATCGAAATTTGAAACCATCATGAATAATTAGATCTTTCCCTTTAGAACTTAACATAATTTGACCAGCAGCCTTGTTAGTTGATGAACTAATCACTGATTGTGAGTCACAGAGGGCTCACGTTAGGTATTCCTTGGCAAGGCTGCTCTGGTCCACTTTGCAGCTTGATCGTTGAAATTTTTTGGTTGTCGGGACGACAAAGATGACATAGGTTAAAAGGCGGAGCGTGATTGGTCGGCTATGTCCTTATCGCTGTTTTGTCGTGCCTTTGTCAGGTTGAATGGACGACATACTGTCGGAAACTTAAGAGGTGCCGTTACCTGTAGCCAACCCCCCCCCCCCCAGGCACGACAAAGCAGCGATAACACATATGTACGCCCTCGCGTTAGAGCATATGGGGTGAGAGAGTAGTGAAAAACCTTTTTTCGACCCGGTCAAGTTTGCTCGTCACCTTTTAGCGGCATTAAGAGAAAAATTGACACGAGACAAGCATAAAGTGATTCCTCTCCCATGAGATTCGTGAAGTTTCGTAGATCAACAGATCAAACCCATGTGAAACGCAAAGAATTTTTCAGTTCATTTGTGACGGTAGCGCAAACTTGCTAAAAATTAACTAAAGTCAATTTTCGGTTGGAAACTATAAGCCCAACTTGAAAAGGTTTTATATGCCATTCAATTCATCAAGGATTATGTTACCTTGAGGGTACACGTGATCGACCGTAAGTTTGTGGAGAGCACTCATTATCATTTTCTTCTCGTACAGATCCCTGATGTGTTGCCAATCAGCAATGCCTGTGAACCGAAGATAAAAACAGGTACTTTGACGAAGCAGAAAATTGAATAAAATTTGAGTTGTGGCTAACTTTTTTTATCCCTTTCTCTCTCTCTTTCTTTCCTTTCATTAAATCTTTCATCGCCTACGAGGCCCATCGTAAACAAAGCCTGGAGGAGATCGTGCCCCTACTTGGGAGTTAGCCTGGAAACGAACTTTCAAATTAAACTAAACTTTAAAGTCATAATGATGAAAAAATTACTCGAGCAAGTACGTACTTGTGCTGCGATATCCTTCTTATGAAACGCGAAACCCATGCCGACGGTTAAACTCCCAAATCAGGTACCTCGATTCTTAATTCCTCCTCTCCCCCTCTTCTTTCCGTCATATGTACATTCATACAAAACAATTTTTTTTTTTTATCACATTGACTTGTGGACATACCCCCCTCCCCCTACGAATTTTCAATGTTTATTCATGTTACTTCATGTAAATAAATATCAGGGCAGAAAGAACCGAATCAAAGCAAGAAAATGTATTTTGATAGGTTGGTAGGTATGATCAATTAATAATTTCTCACCCCTATCGGCCTTCCTGTTTGCACTCATCACGAGTTCACAGTCAAGTCTGTACATAAGGAGCAAATTCCTAACACACTTCAGGAGGTGCGGGGGATCGTAGATAGTGGAGATTTTTCTTCCATTCCACTTGAAAGACGGCTCGTCGAAGGTGGCGCCCAGTCTTTTCAGGGCACTCACTTGGCTGGATCCTAGGTCGCAAACCGTCGTCAGCACCAGCAGACCGGCCTCGTCACAGGCTTTGAGGACATCTTTGATTATGCTCGTCAGCTCTCTTGAATTTAAGCCTCCTCGGCTAGGGAAGTAGGCAATTAGTTGCTTGTATTTTCTTTTTAAGCCTCGCAGCATAAGTACCAAGACATAATTGGCTACCTCCATCTTTGAACCTCCACCGTAGCTCACGAAGCCGACAATTTTGTCGGAGGCCACGCTGTATTCTAAGTGCTCCTTTATGGACATCTCATCGAACAGCGCCGCACATAAATGGAAACCTGCAACATAAAAACAGAAAATTGACTCTCGAGGAAAAACAAAAATAATAATAATAATAATAGGTACCAAAAAGAAGGAAAAACTCAATCCCCCCCCTAGTAAAAATGGAAAATATTGAAATAATTGGAGGGTTTAGGAGTTAAGTAGGAAAATTTTCTAAGTACTTCTAGGGGTTCTATTAAATATAACTTTATCCAGCTCTGCAGGTTTTGGACACCGCACCGTCCCCTTCCACCATATCTTGGTGAGATAGATATGCTCCCTGTAAGATATGCTCCCCCCCTCCTCTTCTGCATAACCTAAGACTCCGATGTAGAAAAGTCCGTAAAGTCCGATGCTCAGGCGGGACTGAGTTTGCCCCCCCCCCCTTCCTCTGATCCTGATACCTGATAAGCAAACCGAAACCATCGCTCATGCCATGCACACTTGAAGGTCTCTTCAAGAAGAAGACCGCGTGTGAAGATTCGTTGAAACTTACCATTTTCTTTCAAGCCGACTTCTTGTGATATCAACTTAAGCGTATTCTTATGGATCCCAGGCTCCATCGGTAACTTAGAGAGTAAATGCTGTAAGGTGCTTTCTGCTGGTAGCTTGAAGATTGTTCGGAGCAGCTTATAGTTCTTAGGACTCCTCTTCCACAGCGCCAAGGCAAGCACCCTTGTCTGCTCTCGCCATCTGATACCTCTCGGTTTCTTGCTTTTGTTCTCAATCTAATGTGTAGAGAAACAGAGAAAGATAATAGGAAACGTTAGTAGGGAGGCAGGTGAGTAAGTACCTGCGCAAAAGGAAAAAAAATTGGAGGATTTTTCGGCGACGATGTAGGGCGTTAATGTACCTAGTTGCATAACATGGCCATAGTGCGGAGCGGGGCTTCTTCATCGCGGTGTTGATATTTCCGCTCTGACATCATTTTTTCATGGAGAAACTAGCCTAATTTAATAGATCTTTTACATAGAATATTCTGTCGACAGGGAAGAGAAATAATTGCGGAAGTTTTCAAGCAATGATGTTGACCTTTTGACACGTACGGAAGGGTGATGGTTGGGGGGGGGGGAGGATCGCTGTCAGTAGATTTGAGTTTAGAATGCGCACATCTTGCCCGGTTCTTTACGAAGTGAACCCTTACGATGTTATTAATTGTGCATGGCCAATTTGATTCATCATTAAACTAAATATTTTGATTTTTTATTTTGATAACACACAATAAGAGCAAGTAAGCGGTCAAATGAGTTGATGGAGTAAGGCTCCTGATTAGTATTGTTATGAAAGGAAACTTGAAAAAGGTATGCGTACCTGAGTTTGTTGCTGCACGATCAGTTGTATCATTCCGCAAGTAGCAATTTCTTAATTTTTTCATGGACTGTATCTTTCTGAAAAAGCTTTGCCCTAAGTGAAATCGGCATCCCTTGATGATAGCTGAAGGAAACACATCTCGCGCTGCTTTCAGTACTGCAGACTCGAAATCAACCATCAGGAGCTTGATATTAAATTCCTTTTTCGTCTTCTTTTCCCAAACTTCTTTCAGTAACCGCCACATTGCAGCATAAGTAACAGCTTCTTTAGATGGAAAAAAAATGTGAAGACGTGGACGTTAAACCCTTCGTGGTACACGTGGATAGTGTAAGTTTGAGAAAAGTGTTTCGGCGCATAAGCAAAGGTGCCACCAAACATTGTTTTCGTAAAACCACGATTAAAAAAGAAAATTAAAGATTTAAAATTGGCGTCCCATTCCCGGCAAACAATCTAAAAATCACAAAAATTTTCCGTTAAAAATGAAATACAGCACGGCACGTAGGACGGACACCCGATTACTGACGGTGAGTGCATCACTCAACCTCAAATTCAATTAATCAATGCACTTTATCTATCATGCGTGCGACTAATCAAAGATAAGTCGATATGGATAAACAGATATATACTCCACTCAGCTTCAGAATCAGTTCAGACGCACAGCTGTGTTGCCAAATCGTTCACCGCGCGAAAACGGAGTGTGCGGAAACGAAAAAAAGGAAAAAGGGTGCGGAAACGTAGTGCACCCGGTCCTACGGGCAGGGTAGGATTTGTAGCGGAGACCACGGAGGCGCTTAGTGGTATTGTAGTTATCGATTTCTGTATCGGATGAGAGGTTTTTCCCGAACAATGATCTGCTTTCATTTCTCTGAAATTTTCCAATTTTTCGGTTTAAGATGATTCGACAGTTGCCATTTTTTGTGTCAGAGCGATGTGCGAAATATGGCATCAATTCGTTCCATAATTTCGGCTTCTTGTCTTTTCTGTCAAATTTTGAGATTGCACTTCTGTTGTCTCGAGACTAAATAACTAAGAACTGTACTAAATTGGACAAAGAAATTCAACGTTTGAAAGGTAGGGTTTTTTCAGAGGGAAAATATCGCATTCGAGTGTAGTTTCGATATCAGTATCGAATACGATATTTTTCCTCTAAAAAAACCCTGCTTTTATTACGGTGAATTTCTTACTCAAAGGTACATGAATTCTTTGGTCTCGTGACAACAGAAGTGCGATCTCAAAATTCGAAAAAAATGACAAGTAGCTGAAATTATGGAACGAATTGATGCGACTATATCGCACGTCGCGCTGACACGAAAGATGGCAACCGTCGAATCACCTGAAAATGATTCTTTAGGCCCATTCGCATGGGCTGTAGCCCTTTCCTCGGCTAAAAATTCAAAAACGACAGAGATTTTTGACCAGATCGATGCGATATGTCGCATGCTACTTTGACCACGCCAAAAGCGAGTGACGAATCACCTTAAGTTGCAAACCACACCACAAAGTGTTTTCCGTAGATGCAACCTTCATTGGTTTGTTGCAAAAACGGCAAATTTCAACAATCAGGCTGCTGACTGCTGGTGTCGCGTCGTAACGCAACGTGAGAGACTGCATCGTCGCCACATTAATATTATCCGCCATCTATTTAGCCCGGCGCGGCGGGACTCAAGTCGTATTCGGCAGTTTCGACTTCGGTACTCAAGTTATACTCGACCGCGATGATACTTTCTTCCACCGAGTTTCATCTTATCCGCCTCTACTAAATGTTAATCCCTTTACTGGAAAAATGGTAGAAAAATTGGATCTAGAGTCCAGACTCTTGAAAACATTGAAAAGAAAAAACACTCCTGATTCGATCAGATTTTTGCTTAAATCAAGAGGAAATCCGCTGAAATTAAGAGACTTGGTTCTTGATCTCAGCAAAAATCCAATTGAATCAAAAGCATTTTTTCTTGTCGATGTTTTTGAGAGTCTGGAATCTAGATCCAATGTGTTTTTTTTTTTCCCAGTGTTCCGATTGGACCCTCCTACTTATAATCGCGGTTGAGGGCTGAGGTGCAAACCTCTCTGCAGTATGTGCACCAATCTGACACGTTGCGCAACTAAATTGGGTGTCCTCCTCGCTAAGTCCCGCCTGGACAATGCACTGGTCGTAGGACATTCCGCGCGCAAAACAGTAGCATATTATAAGAACTTTTGAATCCTTCAAATCATGTTCCTTTCGCACGCGAAATACGGATGTTGCCCTTGTAGAAGTGTTTTTTGCGGCACCGAAATTGTGCTACCGATTTCCGAGAAAAGTTTCGACTCATTACACTTTCGCGCGAACTGCACAATTTTGATGCTGGCATGAGACCCCAAATTAATAAAAACTCGCAAAGTCCATCATCTAACTGGATTTCGTCGGCCAACTGGTACCGACTCATCATCGGCGCCCTACTTTTCTTTACTACGCTGTCTAAAAAACCCGTATCAACCAGTTCGCTTGATGACGCCACGCACTTTTTCACGTTTTCCCCTTCAATATAACCACTCGTTGACGGGATTGCCAGTACTTTCCTAGAAGTACTTGAAATTGTCTTCTTTTTGCAATCCAAATCGCTTTTTCTCTTCGCCTCACGTTTGCTCTGCTTTGGACGGAAAGCATCATCCTCTGAACCACCTCTATCTTCCACGTTCCCGACATTTTGTTCACTTTTCGTCGCGACATAGCTTTGCCCTCTTTAAATACATAACGCACTTCATTTGCAACAAACTTCAAACAATCGATTGCGCGACGCACACCGTCGTCAACACCCACTCATCTGCGAATTTTCGTGGGTGTTAAACACAAACCAACCCAAATTTGGTGTTGATCTCGCTCGTTGAATATTGCGCTCAATTTAGGACAAGAAGCAATGGAAAGACCCGATCAACCCCGGTTTTAAGCGAAGCCTTGCGTTACTTTGTGTTCTTTTCCCATATTAACCAAATGTATGGGTTATTTTTTCTCTCGGCGTGGAGACGTAAGATTTTAGTGAATACCATCTGTTTCAAGGTGTCCGGTCAGTTCGTCGCCACCGATTCCCCACCGGGCAATTCGCGTGGAACTGTCCTAGACTCCTGTTTCAAATTATATATTCGTCGTAATATACTTCTGGAAGCGAGAAGTTCGGAAATGCAAACATTTCTTACACGATTGTTAAGTTGGGAGTGAAATCGACACCTTTTCTAACGCGGCCATTGCTGCCACTCATGCCTCAAGCCGTTTTCGCTTGAAGATTTCGAGTATGCGGGTTACAACGCACATTGGACCGAGTCAATAGGAGAAGTCGAACAAAACTTGGAAACTTTAAAAGATTATAACTCCGTTTGTACAGAAATTCGAGGTTCTAACAGTGGTTTTATCGGTTTTCTCGTAAAACCCTCTCTCTAAAGCACCCCTTGAAATCTAAAATCTGACGATTTAAACATCAAAATTTGCAATTTTAGTCAAAAATTGCATGTACGACCTTTCTGATTGGCTCGAGCCACTGTGCGGCGGACGGACTGCCCTCCGGAAATTTCCGAGGATCAAAAGATGCTGCAACACAAACATCCGGAAAAGGCAACGTAACCCGGCAACTTGGGCCACCGATACTCATCCGTTGATAAATTGTTTAAAGGCTCAATTTTCGGTCCGAGGGGTCCGTGCCAGCGGTGGTGTTTATTTTACCCGAACAAAAATACACACGACGCGGCGACAGACGCGCTGTGTCAAAGGTTCCGGGGACATGATCGCCGGATCGCATCGGAAATCATCGCTTCTCACCAAGTATTTCAACGTAAAGTGCGTGGATCTCGTCGCATGATATGGCAACCTTGCTTGGCGAGTCGGCGTGGATCCGCCATGATATGCGGTCAGCTGTATCGATCGATTGGAATCGCCAGGTCTGTTCACGCACTACCACGGTCGTATATTTTTGAGCTGGAAACACGGTGAACATGTGAGTTTCTTACTCACCGAAGTTGCAGTGTTACTGTTTAGTCCGTCAGTGATGAGAAAATCATAACGTAACGGCTCGATTTAACTATGAAACACAAGAAAAGATAAAAAACACTAAAGTGTGGGTCTAAGATGCCTACATGATGAAACACAGTCAGGACGTTTCGAGCAAATTACATATCTATTCCCAACTGGAAACAAGCAGAAAAGCTTAGCCCTTAGGGTTGGATAAGCGGGGCATGATACACTGGAAAAAAAAACACATTGGATCCAGAGTCCAGACTCTTAAAAACATCGACAAGAAAATACTGTTGATTCAATCAGATTTAAGCTTAAATCAAGAACCAAGCCTCTTAATTTGAGCGGATTTCCTTTTGATTTAAGCTTAAATCTAGCCTTCCAATAGTGTGCCCTGGGTCGAGGGTGTGACCCAGGGCACACTGTTGGAAGGCTCAATTCTTCAAGGGGCCCCAGAGATACAAGTTGGAGGGCCCACATCCCGAAGACTTGTATTTAGCTTTTTTGCAGCCAAAAAAGAGCGACAACGCGAAACGACAATCCCGATGTCGAGACTTGCCTGTTCTGAAAACGCCTTCAAATGCCGCGTGATACCTCACGCATTCCGGAGAGTTTGAATAGTTGTATCATTGCGCCTTACCATTGCGACAGAAGATAAAGCTTTGCTCACACAGATGAAGGTGTGCATTCACACCCCACTCGGCACAGTTCGGTCAACAAAGCATGAGTATTCTGAGTTAATTTTAAGAATATTGTTGGTTCAAGCTGCCCGAAATTTAGGGCTAGATTCCAGTTACTGAGAGTTAAAGAGGGGGAAAGAACCAAAACGAAATTTAAATTCATTTTACACAAATAAACTCACGATGACGCGCGTAGTTCGGCTAAAGGTGCTGATCCAAGAAGATAATTTTTTGAATGCAACAAAAAAATTGAACAGCACAATGAATGAGGGAAAATTCAGTGCGAGTTTGTGCGCACCCGGTTTAAGCCAACGGTTAATACGGCGTGAAATTGCGCAACGGCGCGATTATTTCCTTGCGGTATGCGCGGAAGGGGAGGGTTTGCGATTACACGATTTATGGGGTGTTCCTGTCTTTTAGGTCCCAAGTAACACATGATGAGGATTTCAGAAATAATCAATGAGCACTCTCCCGGGATAAGGTATCTTGCCTCCTATCGCCTGGATAGGTAAGAACAGGTACGATGGGAAAGTCGCTGTACATAGAAAGAAAGTCAAATGGGGAACGCCTTCCAAATTTTCAACGAATCTTACGTAAGAATTCCTAAAATCTAACCCCCAAGTTACTACAGTATGAATTTCGTCGAAAACTACGAGAGTGTCGTCGCTGGCCAATAAACATTTACGTAACAAAGCAGCGACTCTGCTATTAAAAAAAAATTTCTCCGGGGTCCCTATAAGAAGAACAGGTAAAGTGGTCCCTTTTATAACGCTTAAAACCGTGTCCAAGCTTGGTAAATCGTCAGCGGCATCCCTGGCGTTTATGACAAAAAAATTTGCTTCCAAAAACACTTTAATTTGCTCTTCTATAAGAGACACCAGAGGTGAAATTAACAAAACAAAAGACTTTTTACACAGGGGGGGTATAATGAAAGTAAGGGTTTTCCCCCAGCCTGTGGGGGCCAAGAGAAGAATGTTTTCCCCTCTCCCTTTTAACAAAAAATCGACCACGCTCCTCTGTTCATGTCGTAAAGTTTTCTGTAAAA